CCAGACACTACATCTTAGGGAAAGATCCAACTGCCGAATCATAAAATATACATCGACTCAAAGAAGCACACATGAAATTTGAAGGTGATAGCACATTCATTTTTAAATTTTTAGATACAGTTGTAATATTACAAAATATCTTGTCTAAATTGAATGTTTTCACCACAGTTTAAAAACAGATCATCTTGGTCAATCTATAACAACTAAAGCAATGGTTTATTTTGTGGACTGGAAAAACCAAAACAAAACAAAACCCCTCTGAATAAGCTTCAAATGTCTGTCTTATCCTCAAGAGTTCTGTACCTTCAGCAGATTTTTCTTTTTAAGTACAGCAAAGATTTAAAACCACGGCCTTCCTAGCAGGGTTTGTATATTTCCATTATTACCTTAGGGACTGTGCTCTGTAAGTCATCTGTAGGTCCAGCCAAAGAGATTAACTCTTTCATTGTTATTTTCAACAAATCCATTTTGCCTTTCTTAGGTTCAGATGCCAACAATGCCTATGGAAAAACAAGACAGAAATTATCAGGACTATTATTTTATATACACCTGTTTGCTACTTCCCAGAATTGATTCCCCAATGCAAAATCCCCTTTATAAAAACATGTGGTGTTAAGCAAGTTAATTAAGCCACGTGGCCTCCGGCAAGCAGCTTAACCTCTCCATCCCTCAGATTCTTCGTCTGTAAAATTAGGTGGTGCTATCACAGCATCTCTAAGGTCACCTCCAGTTTGCTTATTAATTATGTAATTCTAAGAGGTTGAAAACGGCTCTTGTTGGCAACTCTTCTAAGACCATAATTGGGTAGCAGGTCTCAGACACAATAAGCATGTCAGTTTTAATAACAAATGTATCCAACAAGAAACTTCTCTTCACTTGAAAAACAAAAAATCTCTGGATTAAATTTTTTGTAAGGATTTGGAAACTCCCTGGAGATTGATCAGTTATTTAATTCTTCACAAGAGTCTACCTGGAGGACTATCAAACTGTAGCACTGGAAACTCCATGGGACAAAAGGAAATACTACAAACTTCAAAGGGGGTCCTATATTTGAATATTCAAGAGGTGCTTATTTATTTTGTGTCTAACATTTTGCCAATATTCAATAAACATAAAAATAGGAATATCAAACCACTTGAGGCAATAGAAAGGAATGACGTACTGATACATGTTACAATATGGATGAGCCTTGAAACATGATGCTAAGTGAAAGAGGACACAAAGACAACATACTATATGATTCCATTTACATAGAGACGGAAAATAGATTAGCGGCTGTGTAGGACTGGGAGTAATGGGGAGTTCTTCCCAATAGCTAACACCAAGCAGAGGTTTCCACCAGAACAAGAACATTACTTTATTGGTAAGTTATGCTAGGAAAAATGGGGCCTCTCTGAGCAGATTTTTCTGATAATTTAAATTTTATTCAACTAAAATAAATAAGAAATCTATATATGATTACTAATGTGTCTCCTGGGAACGACAGTTCTTTTTCCCCAAGAGCTGGGCATAGTTATGACATTCTTCCCAAGGCTGGGCTAAGAAGGTGCAGTTCTGACCCCTCTATCACTATAACCAATATGTAGTACCAGTTGGGAACCAGAGATGGAGGCACACAGCACAAAGATGCAACCAAACCTTGCTGTTGCATTAACACTTGTCCTCAGACAGACATATGAGGCAAAAACACACTAGGTCAGAATGAATCAGAGGCAGGAGAATGACCCACACTGGTCCAGAACGGGTCAGATCTGAGAGGAGTCGATTTCTGAAGGTCACCAAAATCTACCCAGCAGAATCACCTCGGTGATCTCTATGCCAAATCAACCTCCACGACTGGTGCCCGTTGTCATAAAAATCATGACTCTGGGAATTTGAGGGAGGCATAAGAAAGGGAAGGAAAACATGTTGGGGTACTAAAAAACAGACTTCATTTCACTTATTTTCATTGCTTTTTTTATATCACCCCATTCCTAGATTTTATCTCCCTGAATATTAAACAAAGATAATTCAGGTCGGGTCTGATTTAGTATCATGAGGACTTGGTTTTTATTCTTTGGATTCATAATGGTGACAGCCTCTTAATTTCAACACTGTGGAAATAAAATATTTTCTTATCGAGTAGCAATATCTGAGTATGCTGATATGAAGCAATCTTTAAGGTATAACATTAAGTGAAAAAAAGCAAGAGACAAAACAGTCTCTTGTGTGGAGTATGCTTTCATCTGTGTTAAAAAGGAAAACGTGTGCACGCGCGCGCGTGCGCGCACACACACACACACACACACACACACACACACACCCAGCAGGGTGCCTGGGCTCAAGTCTTAGCGCTGCTCTTACTATCCTTGTGGCCATTAGCAAATCACTTACCTAACTTTTCTAAGGCCCAGTTTCTTCATCCACAATATACGGATGATCACAGGACCTACCTCGTAGGCCTTGAGGAAGGATTAAATGAGATAACATATGTGAAATAACCACTTATAAAAGTTAGCTACTATTAGGATTAGGATTATTTTATGCATGGATATTTTATAGAAGGATTCAAAAGAAATTGTTAACACTGGTTGCCTACAGAGTCTTAAGGGTCTTTGACATGAAAGGAAGAATATTTTTTCTAATTGAGAAAAAAAATAAAGGGCAGCATGCACACTTCCTGGAAGTGAGCAATGAATGCACCACAGCAATGTCTTCCTACTTCACACACAGGCGGAAATCTCTACCACGCTCTGTTCATATTACAAGACTGACCTCTTAGAGGGTTTGTTCCAAGAAGAGATCTGTCACAGGAACACACTGTCCACACGTTAAAATCACAAATGCTATAGTACTTGTGAAATGTACTACAGAGAAGACAGAAATGTCCCTTATGCAATATGCTCACTCATATGTCAGGGGGGTTAGAATACACTATTATCAAAAGACCAAAAACAAACAAACAAAGCCCCCAGCTATGATCCTGTAGATAAGTATCTACCTGTATGTAGAAAGGAATTCCAGCGCTGCGTCTTGTAGCACAGAGTTTAGATGAAGGATCACTGCATCTAATTTCCTCTAAAACATTCCATAACCACTCTTCCGGTAGCTTCTGCAGACTCAAATTAGGGCACCTAAAAGGCATATATAAAGCAAACATCTGGAATTATCAGGTACCAAAAAGTAAAAGCATAAACTATTGATATACATTAACACTGTTAGGAAAGAATAAACATCCTTACATTCAGAGGGAGGGAAACTAAAAAATGTCTCACTTTCCACTTTTCACCTACTTTCTTCTTTATGATGGGTCTTAGCATTTGTAGCTATTATAGATTCCATTTCTTACAAAAGCATGAAGAGCATGTGTCTTGTGTGCAAATGAGCTTTAATACCTAGGCCTGAACCCACACCCAAAATGTTCTGAAGGTTAATCAAACTCTCACCAATGTTCTATATTGCAAAATTCAAGATTTCCAACAAGCAGAACATAACCTTATAGTTTACTGTAGTTTATATTCTACAGTTACAGAGATTATACATATTCATATACACATTTTTGAAAGTGTATTTTAGTAATCATTTTAGCTTTCTCAAGTGTGGCCTTTCACAAATAAAATTTTCATCCACATCCTATGGAGAATTAATAAAGCAAGTTATTTGGAAAGAACCTTAAACATTTTAAAGTTATTTGGACATTACTGTTAGTGAGATTCTGCTGTACTATGTTAATTGTTATTCTAGAGTGCTTAAAAACATGTGACTTTTAAAAAATTTTTCATCTTATGCCCTAATATACAGTTATATAACATTATCCTAAGAAATAGCATATTTAACGTTAGACAGGCACAATTATTTTAGAAGGATCATAATTGGCTTTAACTAAAATTAATACGAAAATAAAGAGGTAAAGTCCAAAAGAAAAATACTCTCTTTTTTAAATTGAAGAAGACAGTCTTCAGCAAGACAACTGATTTCTAATTTGTAGAGAGAATTAGAGCTCTTAAAAACATGTGGGTTTTTTTTTTTTTAATTGAAGTATCATTGATTTACAATGTTGTGTTAGTTTCTGGTGGGGACTTTTTTTTCTTTATTTTAGTTTGGTGTTAAGATAGACAACTTCAGTTTCTGACTAACATTCCAAATAGCAACTCAAATTTAGTTGTTTATGTCTTATATAGAACAAAATATACATAAATAATACTACTTTGAAGGAGGCATATTTGTTTGACATGGGCCTAAAAAACATTATTTCAGCCACAAATGTTACAACCAAATCTCCCTACTCCCAGCAGGCCCTGTGATTTTAAAGGTTTCCTTTTAGCCTGGCTTCAAGTCTATCACCTTGTTCCTGCTTCTTCCCCCTCAGCTCCTTCAGCCATAAAAACCAGCCATCAACAGACTGAACCACAAAATTAAAAGAGATTCAAAGGCAGAACAACCAAATGCAAAGTGTGAACCTTGTTTAGATTCCAACTTGAAAAAAACAAATGTAAAAAAAGATACTTTGAAATAATACAGATAGTTATGTATATATTAGATATTATATGACACCAAGGAATTATTTATAGGATGTGCCAATGGCATTGGGGACATGGAAGAAAGTATTTTTTAGAGAGGCACACTGAGGTGCATAGGAGTAAAAATAACATTTCAGGGATGTACTTTGTAACACTTCAGCAAAGGACAATGAAAGGGATAGATGAAGCAAGTGTGGCAAGGCAACTGCTTGCCTTGCTTGCCAAGCAGTTGGCAAGGTGGTTCATTACATTATTCCCTCTCTCTCTCTCTCTCTCTCTCTCTCTCTCTATCTATATACACACACACACACACACACACACACACACATACACATATACGTGTGTGTGTATATGTTTGAAATTTTAATACGCTTTATATGTTTTTAATTTATGTTTGAAAATTTTCATAATCAAAAATCCATTTCTATGTTTGAATTTTTTATAATAAAAATAATCCTCCCACACTTATGTTACTTACATTACTGAAGTTACTTCCCAATCACTGGGTTTGTATCTTTTAAAAATTATGATAAATGCATCTGTTTCATAGAATAATTTCTCTAGTTTACTACTAATATTGCCAATGTGGTATAATCCTCACACAGTTGCCCAGTCAAAAGCTGAAATCTAAATCCCTAGGAGTTGTTAAATTTAAGTGCTAATGATACAGTTATGGATTGCTGCTTTTTTTGCTCATTTTTCATGGTCTTTTAAGTATATTTGGGTTAATTTACACCACAATGGGTGAGCAGAGAAAAAAAAAAGAGAGAATTAAAGCAAAGTCACCTTTCTGTTATCTAACCATGCAAGAAAAAGCTGGAGTCACAGAGGTGAAAAAAGAAGACTACTTGGGGCTTCCCTGGTGGCGCGTGGTTGAGAAGTCCGCCTGCCGATGCAGGGGATACGGGTTCGTGCCCCGGTCTGGGAGGATCCCACATGC